GCCCCGCACCGCCCGCGCCCGCGGCGCCCGGCCGCGCCCGACCTTTTATCCTCGTTATAGCAATATCCTAGTGTTACCGCGTAGTTAGGACGAGTGCGCGGCGCCGCCGCCGCATGTAATCTTCCAATTCTAAATGTAAAAGAGTACGATCGCTTGTAACTGTATCCTAGAGTTGTAACCGTGTAGCTGTTGTTGTGGCATGCATAGACTGCATAGCGCCGGCGCGCGCGCCTTGTTGTACCAAATTTTTCATAATATATTATAGTTTTTGTTTGATTTATATAGTTAGATATCTTCTTCAATGATTATTTTAAAGTAACCAAAAATAGATACCAAATATAAAAAAAGATACAATTCTATCAATTTAAAAAGCATTTTGATGCCTGCATGTCGTATTGTGTTCAAGACTTGCAATAAAACACCCGTAAAGCTTTGATATTTAGGGTCGAAATGGTCGCAATTCACTGTAGCTTCCTTAATTTATATTAGATTTTGTTTTTACATCCTGCTTATGAAATTATATGTATATACCTAGGAAACTACTCTATTCAAAATCAATTACTATTGTAAAACTCTAATTAATTAGATACTTAAATAGAGAAAATTTAAAATGTATTTCAGTTTCAACTCCGATCACCGATATATCGATCGAAATGTGATTTCACACAAAATACCAAAGGAAATGTAACTATTGTATGTACTTAATGTAATTTGTATTCAGTCAGTAACGTATGTAGATCTTGTCGTTCACGTGTGAATGAGATGTAAAGAGTGAATGAAGGAAGAGAAAGATTTATTTTTAAAACTTTTGAGTTTGTTACAAATTTTTAGCATTGAAAAATAAAAAGTGTTTTTGGTTGTATCATTAAATAATTATTATTTATTTTAATAAATAAATTACAATTTTGAAATCTCCTTCCGAAACCCTTCAAACTCCTCTCTAGTTTAGTTCCAATATTTGTGCATATAACCTGAAATTCTAATACTTAAGCATACACAGTTTAATTTAAACTATAATCTAGAGAAGAAACTAAAAGAAAGACTAACAAAAGTAACGCATACTTTATGAAAAATATCTTAAGAATTATAAGAAAAGCGATACAACATAATTTATCTAAATATGCACTTTTAAATTGAATCTCAAATTCTTAAAACGAAAAGTATTTTGTAATAAAACAACTGTACCTACATTACAATGAAGAAATGTAACAAAACTCTTGTGTAAATATTTAAATCTGAGGGGTTATGGGTACGTTGGCGACGGACTGCTGCATATCTGGCGCTGGTATGGTGGGGTGCAGACAGGCGATACGCAGCGGCTGAGCTATCTTCAGCGCACGTGACTCCTTGCGCTCCAACGCATTAGAAACCAATGTATACGCCGCCGTAAATAATGTTGAAGCCTACACAAATATTAACAAATATAAATTCCCTGTCTATCTTTAGAATAATGTTTTTCTTGATTCCAACTTATGAATAATTTTAATATACCATGACAATGATGATGGCGGAGGCGAGCACGCAGACGGAGTTGATGAACATCCTGATCTCGTTGAGTGCGGGGCGCAGGCAGCCCCCCGTGTGCATCGGATTGGTACACTGCTCCCCATTCTGATAACACAAGCGCAAATACATAATAAATACTAGAATTCTTGTTCAACAATAAACCACTGCTGAAATCAATTTCAACTGATAGGATGGTTAAAGGAGTTCATACATTTGATAAATATTCAAATTTACGTGCAACGCTTCAAGTATCTCTTATGCTTGAAGTGTTGCACCACTCCAGCACCCACTAGGCGAAAATTATATTTATAGATAACAGAGACATTTGTGTTAGTTTATTGAATACCTTGCCATTCAGTAATCGTCCGCAGCAGGAGGGTGGCAACACTCTGCGGTGCTGGTACCAGTCCGCGTATGATTGCACGCCGCAACATTTCAACTATTATACAACAATACATTATTAAGCTTAGGCTAAAACTAAATTAATTAACTTTCAAAGATCCTTACATTTTGAATCTCGAATTTAAACGCCTTCCGAATTTCCATTTTGTACAATCCTCATACTGGGAAAAGTTGCACACATTTTTTCTTAGTATATTTTATCCCAAATCTCATTCACCAATATCTTCAGCATTAAATTATAATAGGTCAATACCTCGATCTGCATAGCGGAGAAGGCGGTCCGTACAGCGGGGTCCACAGATTCGTGCGCCATAGCACGCAGCATGCTGGCGTTAAGCGCGCCAGGCTCACGCACCGCCTTCGATAGTCCCGTGATGGCCGACATACCCGTCGATAGCAGAAGTATGGAGGTCGTCACCAACAGCATTAGCTGAAAAATTCGTTAAAATACTTTTGTCAGTACACATAGATTATAACTAGCTTTTGCCCGCGACTCTGTGTTCTTTCAGACTATACCCTACATCTATTCCAAATTTCATGGAAATCCATTCAGCCGTTTAGGCTACAAACTCTAACAATCATCCATCCATCTAAACTTTTGCATTTATAATATTAGTATGAAGTCAACACAGCCAACAAAGCTCCTGCGTCACATATTAATTCAAGAAACTCATTGATATGTTTTAAAGTTATTTATCCACAAAACTTCAAATAATTGTTATGGGTAAGAAAAGAACGTATCTATTCAAAAACCACAGGCTCCTTTCAAAATGTAGACGTTTATGCTTGTCGCTGATTACATGATTTAGTTCTATTCTTAAAAGCACAATATCTACATAACATACCGTAGCTAGAATTGATACGGATTTACTATGGTAAGGTGCTAATGTAGCAAGCCAGCAGGAGGGTAGGCAGAGGAAGGCGCCTGCGATGAACAGCACGATAGCACCAAGCTCGACGCCGAGGTCAGTCGTCCAGAAGTAATACGACATACGCAGTAGGGTGAATGCTGTAGACCCGCCCAATATAGCGCCTCCACTCTGGTAAAAAGAAGTTAGGTTATAGTAAAGAGCTCTTGGATACAGATTGTTATAAGCTAGTTCTATACAAGTTATATTGAACTTACCAACAGTAGTCCTGCACAAGCGAATAAAACTAAACCACTACTTCTCATTTTCGAGATGTTGTAATATATTTCTAACAAATATTTTATATCGTTATCAATGATTAATTTTCTATATTTTGTATTATTTTCTAATTCTATCTTCGCAATACCTAAAGTAATTAATTCATGTCACTTTTGACTTGTTTTGACGGCTATTTAAAATTAGACATGAATAAGAAATAAATTCTTTTTTGTCAAAATCTACTATTCAGATCTCGTTAATTTCACTTTATTTGTATTATTCCATATTGCAAGCCTAATTTTAATGAGCTATATAGTTCTCTAATTATCCCAAAGTATGTACATTAACCTAAATCGTTACCTGTAAGTTTTAAATGTTACTACTACGTCCTTCTACTGAATTACGACAATATTGATTTACACTATTCGAATAACAGATAATTGTTTGCTTCATAGTAACCTAATGCATGAGAATAAAACATTAAAATATAGAAAACTTCTTTACACCATCTATGACAAAGAATAGTAAAAAGAAGAATTATAGAAGACGTGCCATTTGTCATGAAACTTTTGTCATTTTTCTGGCTTAATACATCATGTAACATGTATTTCTAGCCATAGTATATTTTTTTTATTGATCATTTAATTATAATAATTAATTTCGATGCAAAAAATTCATTTAACTATGCAATAATTCACCGAGAACATTTAAATCTTAAGTCACAGAGAAGTTATAAACGTGTCACTGCATTTATACGTAAGTACCTTCATGACATAAATAAGTTTAATAATTAACATATTTCAGTTATCGTGTAGTTCTCGCTCCCTTTTCCAAAGATCATTGTATCTTTTTCTTTGTCGCGTGATTCTTTGCAGACACTTTGTGGTTATCACGTATCGGTGACTCGCTTCACAAGTCGCCGCCACTCCTCCATGTACCTTCTTCTTTCCACATTAGTGCAAGGGAACCTCCATACAAAATCACTATGTAGGTTTTGATTAATGACCCGTAGTATAAGTGATCCTATTGCGTCGTAGGGCCAGTGGTACTGCACGGGTTAACAACTTTATATATTATATAATATGTGTTTGTATGTCATAGTTGCATTCGCAATGCATCCGGTACGTGAACGTGACTGCGACGAGCTACTGCAGCACCCGCTGCTGCGGACGCCGCCGCCGGAGCCCGAGCGCCCTAAGCCGCCGCGTGTTCGCAAGCCGAGAGTCTTCAAACTCGTTAGCATACTATTGTGATACTAAGTATTAGTAAAAATATCAGCACAGCACTTTGTTAAGTCATTCAATGTTCTTCTTAGACCTGTCATATTTTTGGGATGAAATGTTTTGGGAAGTTAGCTTGTAATGCTATTTTATAATATAGTTTGTTAGACTTTACAAACTTAAGTAAAGTGATGATGCTATGGGCATGTTATGAGGAGGGATGAATCGATTGTTACAAGGAGAACGTTAGTTATGAGTGTGTAAGGGTACATACATCGGTAGAGGTAGACCTAGACGGAGATGGATGGATTCTGTAAAAGGTGACATGATCAAAAAGGGAGTGATGACTGAGATGACGTATGATAGAGTTATGTGGAGGACCAAAACCTGTGGCGCCGACCCTACGTGAATAGGATAAAGAGATGATGGTGATGATGATGATGATGATGATGATGCTAATAATTTTTTTTTGCTTTCTTCATTTTCTACTACTTAATTAAATTTTCAGCCTCCAAGATTTCCCTTGTTGTCTATAGAATTCTACACAAAATGGTGCAACCATCAAAAAGAGGTAACTTTAAATTATTTCATTCTTATTTAAGTCTAGAGTTTCACAATTTTTATCGATTATTTTGTATATGAGATAGCTGCAAATGGCGAAGCACAAAGTGGACGACAACTCACCGGAACTGTTCCCGGAGCTGTATCTGAAGCCGCGCCGGCTGGACTACTACGCGCGTCAGCTTGAACAGAACATGATTGTCAACAAGGAAATCATCAAGAAGATTAACCTCATACAACGAACTGGGGTATGCCGATGTTATATGTTGTTTAATGCAATAATGCAATATCATCATACCACAAACTGTGATATTTTGAAATTAGTGTTTATAGTATGATGGTAAAATTATACACAATTTCGTAGCTTAGGAGACTAAAATAATCTAATGAATCTATGACTTTTTGAGTACTCCTTCGTCATTCTGGTAATGCGCGTTTTGTGCAGGGCTTTGTGGATTGTTGGCTGAAGCCACCGCCCTCCGACAACTACAATCGGCTGCTTTGCAAGCAACGCCAGCGAGTGCTCGACCGCATCCGCAAACATAACCTTTACTTGTACTCGAGGCTGCTCATCGCGGTGATTACTATTAGTTACCATTTTCTTTAGCGTAAAACAACAATTTCTGACACATATGACTCATATTTGAGCTTCGTACCATTTCCACTGGACTTCACCGCCATAAAAATAGCAGGAGCGCTGCTAATTGTTTAAGAAAAGCGGCCTTTGCAATAAAAGCACGTCCTGAGCTTTAACCGTCAACTAGCTAGTAAAATTGGACATCGTATGATTTTACATTACATTGCAGAGATCTGAACAGCTGCTCACAAAGGAATTGGATTTGGCGTGGATAGACACAAAACACAAACTTATTTTAGGAGCATCGTAAGTTAATTTAAATATTATTTGAAGTCTTGTGTTGTTATGTTCGGAAATGAGTTTTAAGTTATTTACAATTAAAATTTATCCTTTACAGATTACCATTCATATTGTTCAAAACGGAGAAGATAGACCGCGGAATTAGGGATCCCGCTTTTGACAAACCATCGTATGCGAACAGAACCAAGTGAGACTTATCTTGACTATACTTAAAATTATATTTTTTTCTACTTACTTTCCTTTTCTACGGCTTTTTTATCAATTCAAAATGCGTATATTCTAATTTGAAACGCATACTATTTTACTTGTGTATGATTTTGATTTCAGAGTTGCAATGGAAATTTGGGTGCGCGGTGGTTCTAAGATGGGGAAAGTGTTCATAGAACTGTTCACGGACTTGATGCCGAAGACTTGTCAGCTTTTCCTCAACCTGGTGAAAGGCGATAGTAAGGGACACGCTTACACGGGCTGTAGATTTTTCACGTATGTTTTAACACATTACACGCAATGATTTTTCGTGCAAACTCGTGGCACTGAATGTGTTCTGTTAATATTTTTTCAAGTGAAACGCTTCAAATCATATATTCCACTGTTTAAAGGATCGTGCCAGACCTGTACTGCAGAGGAGGTGACGTCGTCAAAGACAATGGTTTCGGTTTCTACCACGCAGAAGCGAAACAAGCCCTTGAGACTCCCGAGAGTTTCTTACTCAAACATACAGTTCCTGGTAACCTCTATAGTTTATTTCATGTTATTGCTGCGTTATACATCGGGAGTAATTTTGCTAAGACTAAATACAATTTTGTATTCGTTAGGTGTGTTGTCTATGGTTGTGACGTCAGACAATGAAGTGCCCGGACAGTTCAATATCATTTTCAAACCTTTGCCGCAGTTCGATAACAAACATGTCGTCTTTGGACGAGTAAGTATACACAGTTCATAATATTTGTACTTTCAAAATTAAAAGCATATGTATTTTTTACCAAATACAATATACTCTAGGATAATCGATTTCTTAATTTTAAAAGTAAAAGTGTAAAAACGTATTTCATGACTTGCATTTATTTTTATAAATACTTATTTAACTTATCACAGATAGTGGCGGGCCCTACGCAGACGTTAGAGCGCATCAGCGCACTAGGGCTGCCTCTAGGCACGACCAGCTCGGACTGTATCATCCGCACCTGCGGCTGGTTCCGCCGCAACGGACAGTACAAGGAGGGCAGCCCTAACACCATCAAGTTCCCGCCCAGGAGGAAGAAAGTTTAGAAAATGTGAACTTTTAACGAAATAAAGGTTTTTATTTGATATATTGTAATTTTATTTAATTAATCCTGTCATGTGAAATCTACAGCGTCTATGTAAAATTAATTTTAGGTTTTTAAAATGAAAAATACCACATGAATACTTAATACCGTTTATTTTCATACGTATCTCTAATTGTTTAATAAATTAGAAAATGTAATAGAAAATATGACACCGCATACGCAGCCGAAGCTGAATCACAAAAGTCGATCACTTCAGTCAATTGAAACGAGAATATAACTTAGATAGCGTTATCTCTGTCACACTATCGTCACTCAATCTTCACGAACAACGCGCATGAAAATATTAACGCCAGCAACTGAAAAGAAAGCAAAAAACAAATCATTTTTATTTACAGAGGTATTCTTAAAAACATTTTCGTAACTTTGTCGCCATTTAAATTAGGTTTAGCAGCGCCCCTACCGGGCATAAAGTACACCAACTAATCTCATACTTTGTCACTGATGTTACAATTAAGTTCTCGCAGCTGTAACCCAAATATTTTTAAAGAGCCTGTGTTACCACAATTTTTTTTGGAGAATGAGAGAAATGACATTATTTTTAAATTATTCTTACCATAACAATAGTTGTTACGATCGCGGTAACTCCGACACTGACGGCGTTTTCCCGCAAGAAGCTTACAGTCTTCTCCAGGCATCCGTCTGTGTACATGGTGGTGGGGTTAGGGGAGCTTTTGCAGTCCAATCTCTGCAACAGTGGTATAATAGTACATTAATAATTTATTAGCACAACACCCTACTTCATACATACACATTGGAGGACATTTATTTCCGAACCTTTCGGTGAATTTATCGCTCACAAATAAATTACAGAAAATAACATTGAATGATTCACTAATGTTGCTAAAATACCCGAATATTAGTTTATCCATTTTAATTTAGCATCTCCTTACGAAGAGAAGAATCATTATGACACCGAAAACAGGATAGAAAGATATATACAATTTTGTCAATTCCACAGTCGTTTAAAGGTGAATGACCTTTCGTATTGCTGTTAATTGGACGCACAAATCGTTTATATACGCGCTAAATTATGGTACTGCAAGGTTTGCTATCTGTACCTTCCCAGGATAGACTTCCTTGCAGCAGCTGTCAGGCACGTTATCGTTCCAGTCATTATGGCTGCGCACGCCGCAGCACTGCAGGAAAGTCTGCGTGTCGTCCCACGCCCGCGTGTACTCGTGCTTCACGCCGTAGTACGGGATGGCGGCGAACATCTCCCTGTCCAGTGTACTATGAACCTTCTCACGGAACACGAACTGCAAGATTCCGCCCACTAGCGCCACCACGAATATTATAAATATCAATATGTAGTACTGAAACAAGGAAATAAATTAAGTTGAATTTTTTTTATCGGTAATAAGTATATTTGTGCATCTATAAGTCCGTGAAGCTAGGAAAGTTTAAAAACTAAGCTTTATTCGTTTATCGGAATAAATAATTCCATTTCTACATAGACAAAATATGAATAACAAATTAAAATATTACATCAATTACGTGATTAACAGAGTATAACAAATGTTGTAACAGGCATAAGTACATACATATGCTTATGTTAATTGTACCCGCCACACATTACTCGACGGATATCCTAAGTGCGCACATGTTCTTGACTGCGTTACTTAAAGGTCGTGGCATTGCAATCATTAATACGTATAGATATACAATCTTTGTATAACTAAATTACAATTAAAGTTCTAAACTAAAGTAAATCAACTTGAATTTAGTGCAAGCGCTGAGTGGTCTTTCATTTGCAAAAACCGCGAACCGCTGAAATAATAAGTAGAATTAGAATTAAGATTTCCACTAAGGGCTACCACTTATAGATGGTAAAACGTTGTGTATCAGTATGGGACTATATTGTATCAAGATGGTTATAAATTTTGCGTCATACCGTGAGCAGCATGCACT